TGCGTGAAGAAGACCTGCGTGTGTGCACAGACAGTCTGGCTGTCTTCAGGGGGCTGACCCTCTGGTTGCTGGCTTGGGCAGCTCAGGAGTGACAGGGCACCGCCCCTTGTGGGGTGCCGACCTGTGGTGAGAAGTATGGGAGCGTGGCCAAAACGCTGACCATGCGAGGAATCGTGGCTCGGGACATAAGCCCCACCTCTCACTGGGAAACGACTTAGCAGATGCCTTGACCAGGCATTGCAATAGTTGACCGCTAGGAATAGTGACTGACCAGAAAATTGACTGCTGCATATGGGATGTTGTTAGAAATAGAGTCTGACCAGGGGCAAGGATCACAGACTTAGCCCTCCAGGTTGAAGCTCTTGATCAGCCTACAGCCCAGGCCTTGAATGTTACGTGCCAGATTTTGATGTTGCTTATGGACAAATGAAAAAAAGTGTTTTTGCCTAGTGTGTTGGCGCACGTCTGTAATCCCAGCACTTCGGAGGCTGAGACAGGAGGGTCATTGTGAGTTCGAGACCGGTCTGGGCTACAAAGTGAGCTCAAGGCCAGCCTGAACTGCACAGCGAGACCGTCTCAAAAAGACTAAATAAAGCAAGCAAGCAAGCAAGCAAGCTCCTTGAAAAGAAAGCAGGGGGATAAAGCTCAAGACCAGCCTGAACTGCATAGCGAGAGCCTGTCTCAAAAAGACTAAATAAATAAAGAACGAAAGCAAGCAAGCAAGCAAGCAAGCAAGCAAGCAAGCAAACTGCTTGAAAAGAAAGCAGGGGCATAAAAGAAGACGCAGAGTTCTGAGGACTGCTAGGGGAAGTAGGCTGGTGCAAATGGCCTGAAATCCTTGAGTCAAATGCTTGCACGCTGCGTTACTGACCATCAGGGCATTTCCGTGTGGGACGGCGGAGTCCACTAGGTATGCACCTCCCCGACCTGGACCAGCGAGCAGGCCGGCAGGTGGGCACCCCCCAGGCGCGCTCAGAGCGCCGGGCTGGGCAGGGCGGGCGCGTGCCTCGGGACGAGGGGGTGTGGCAGTGGCGCGCGCCGGTTCCGAGGTTGCTCTAGGCCGGCGGCGGGGAGCTGGGATGGGAATCCGCGGACGCAGCCATTGAGCGAGGGAGGTCGGCCATCGGGCCGGGTTCCCCACAGCGCTCGGGACGCTGGGTTGTGCACTGGGGCTCTGGGCCCCGAAGAGGAGCGTCCTCCCACTCCTGCGCCTTGCTTCTCTGTGCCCCGGGGACCCTGCCTGGGCGCCCCCCGCCGGCGCGATGGTACGGTCCAGGTTTAAAAGGCCCGGAGGCCGCGAGCCAGCCCAGTGTGTGGGCGGTGGCGGCGGCGGCGCGCGCGCTGG